TAAAAAACTTTCTCTTTAACAAATATTTTCTAATTGGTAAAACATAAAAAATCGTTAGATATGACAACTCTGAAACTGGTCGTTCGTCTGGCCGCAGTTATAAACGCAATGCATCCGGCCAGCCGACGGCCAGGTCGTTGCGACCTGGTCGTCAGTGAGTTAGAGCCCTAAGAAGAGAAAACATTTTTGAACCTAACTTTGTCGGCCGGATAGCTCTGGCAGCTGTGGCAATTAAACCCAATATACTACTACTAACCTAACTTCGTATTTATAGTGGTTTACAATAATTTTGTTAAATTATACAAATATTCTCGTTGATTATTGGTTTGAAATAAATATGACGATGTCCTCCAATCAAAATGAGGAGGTACTTTTTTGAGTACACACACACACACACAATTTGACTAAACTATAATTCGATTAAAAGATTCTTGCTGTCACAGTCAACGGATGGGTTATTGAGTGATTGGTAACGTAGAAAAATCAAACAGTGTTGGATAATGTGCATTTTTATCGAAATTATAAAAAATAGTGATGTTTTAAAAATATGACATTGCAGTTTTAGTCTAAGTACAATAATTATTCTCTCATCAATCGTATTTCTATGATGTAAGAGTTATGTGTGTGACAAATAGTGCACGTTTTTTTGGCATAAGTGTTTCATTATATTTTAATGAAATCAAGCTATGGTGATTTATTTTTAGTTAGATAAGAAGTCTAAAATAATCTAATACAAAGATGTGATAAATGATTAGTAATACGATTTAAATGTCTGCAATAATTACTGGTTTATTTTTATTATTTAATATTATTTATAGATTTATACAAGAGGCAATAAATAATTTAATATTTAGTTTGAGATTATATTAGAATGATTTCATAATTTATATTGAGTGATAAATAAAATTCTATTAGCAATTAGGAAATATAAACCGAACAGTTCGGAGAGAAAAGTTAATTTAATTAACTTTAATATTGAATAGAAAGTTTTTCCACTTTTTTGTATTTTTCTCCATGTTTCGTCACAATTCAGCACCCCAAAATTTGAATATTGCTAGCACGATTTTTGACGGTGCACAATATTTTATTTGAACTGACTCACCGCCAAAACGGCCGTACTATTCTTGTCGAAATTACCGCCACTCTTTTACGGCACCGTTTTGTGGGAAACCGAAGCTTTTCAAATATAGTACTTTCTGCAAAGAATTAACATTTTTAGATTCTTTACATGCCTATAAAGAATCATCTATCTGGCATTATTTTTCTGTAGGTGCTATTACAAAAAACAAGCTGGAAGAGTATAACAACGTTTGGTATGTTTTACAAATGCTTATTTATCATATGTCAAAGTAGAAGTGCGGAAGTTACAATTCTTATCGCGTTTTAACTACGCAGAATGAAGATTATTTATTTTGATTGTCATTGAATTACGTTAAGTTTTTTTTTATATCTATACAAACATTATTTGTACTTTAAATAAATCATTTTGTACCAGTTGTATGCCAGTATAGAGTATCGCCATTATTTGATATCTATAAATATTTCACGTACTTTCTAGACTCTATACATTATTAATATATTTAGATTAGATTATCTATTCAATGTATGAAATTAATTATGTAAATGTAAATACATTTATACTACAGAAAAAAAGAAGTTCAAAGTCAGGACGGTAAACCGCTAAATGAAAATTCATAATTCTTACAAGGTGACACCTGCGGTCACACTAAAACGTTGTCTTTCCAAAATATGTATCTATTAATAACATTGAATTGTCTATCTGTGTACCAATAAGTATTTCTGTTAAACTGGTAGATTAGATGATTAGATGTAGATTGTATGAAAGGGCGGAAGTTAATCACCTTATACTTATTAACTCTTATAAACCTGTTGTATCCCCCTTTCTTGGGTTATAACTCATCATACAGTGTCAGGGTTTTGACAAAAGCCAGTATCTGAGACGGTTTTACAGAGGGTAGTTATCCTCTCCGATATTAGTCGTACCAAAGTTTCCGGCACGAATGGTTGTTGTTTCCCCATTTTCCCCACATCTCCACAGAATCTGCATTTGCCGTCGTTTCTTAGCTTCAAACTACTGAGGTATTCTTTGAGGAAAGTGTTCTGTTAAATACCCCGTGACAATCCGAAGATGTTAAAATTAAAAATTTATAAGCGATTAGACGTTTATCATATGACATTAGGTTTGTTCTTGACCCCTCTTGGTCACTATGTTAAATTTTAGCAAGTAATTGTGGAATAATCCAATTATGTGAATTTCTGTGTATTTATTTTCGGCAATTTTAATGAATGCATTAATTTTTTATTTCTTACAGCATTTTCCTTGCTCGGACGACTACTATGTTATTTGAACATATTCACAAATTTTCCATATTTGTAAAGGTGCGTCCAGACTTGAACATTTTAGCCCGAACAAACAGAACGAACCGAACGCGCCAATCATTTTCGGGTTAAAATGTTCAAGTTTAGATGCACCTTAACGTAAGATTTTTAGTGATATTGTTACTTTACTATGATATTGGTATATGAGAAGTTCTGGAAAAGTTAAATATTGCAAGAAGATCCATTATCGATAATTGAAACTCATCATTGTTCAGCACTATACAGGGTGGTCCGAACTGTAGTCCGGAAACTTCAGTAGCATATTCTACAGATAAAAATAAGTAAAAAAGTTCGTATAAATGTATGTCCTAAATTGCTTAGTTTCGGAGATACAGGGTGTAGAAGTTTCATTTTTATTTCGATTTTTTCCAAATAATTTCTGAAGTAACGTCAATATTTGGATGAAAATTGGTGTCTGGGAGTATTTTGACATGAGAAATTTGATTTTGAGGTCAATATGACTCCTATTAGTAGGGGGCGCCACCTGCATGTGTTTTAACTGTTTTGAAGAGTAATAACTTTTTGTCGGTACCTGTACAAAATGTTGTCTGTACAAAATGTTGTATTGTTTTCTGTACAAAATATCTCTTGCTAAAAATCGCTACGAGCAGCCGTTCTCAAGATATTTAGAATGGAAGTAGTCAATACGTGATTGACAAAAAATAAACATGTTAAGTAGATAAGTTCGGTGGTTTTATGGCAAAAGGTGCTATGTCGAAATTTTATTGCAATATTATTGTAACACGAAAAAACGTGTTAGGCCAAAATTTCGAATTTTATAAAAATCATATGGTTCCATTTTGCTTATAAAGGTTCTATTTAGCTTTTTAAGCCAATTGGAACCATATGATTTTTATAGATCATAGAACTTATTGCCATATTATAATTTTTCTTCGAAAAAATGGTGGTAAAACAATTTCTATTGAACTTTTGACACTAAATCATTTCAGATTTATGATTACAGTCTAATAACTATTTTAGTCAAAATGTTTAATTGATGTCAATGATGATAAGTATTGATAATTTGGAGTCCAAATAACTCGAGAACCATTACTCGTAGCGATTTTTATCACAAGACCTTTTTTACGTAAAAAACGTCGTAAATGTATATTCGTTTACACAGTAGTTTTATACAGGTACGGACGAAAAGTAATTACTCTTCAATCCAGTTAAAAAATATGTAGGTGGCGCCCTCTACAATTAGGAGTCATACTGATATTACAATCAAGTTTGTCATGCCAAAAAACTTCCAGACACTTTTCATCGAAATATTGACGTTAGTTCACAAATTATTTGGAAAAAATCGAAATAAAAAAACCTGTATCTCAGAAATTAAGCATTTTAGGACATACATTTATACGAACTTTTTTACTTATTTTTATTTGCAGAATATGCTGCCGAAGTTTCCGGAATACAATTCGGACCACCCTGTATATAAATAAATAAACTGATGTGTACTACAGTAACTACAATAATACCGTTCGACTACAATACGTATGTTTAGAATTGGAAAAATATAACTTAACGCTTTTTTTCCAATCATACGATAGATCATATACATATGTTACTATAGCATCATCTGTGGTATCATCCAGCACTTATGGAATGTAAATTAGCATAAAATATTTTATGTTCCGATAAAATTGGTTTGGCCGTTAGAATTAAAAAATATACTTAAATTGAAAAAAAAACTTATTGTATATTCTGTATATTGTTGTATTTTAACTATTACAGATTGAAAGAAGCTACTATGATTTTAATATACAAGCTTAATATACATTTATTTTTATCTAAATACGTGATGAGTAGGTAATTCAGAATACCTGCATACCTACGCATGTATACTGTCTGATAATTCTTTGCGCTAATTGAATATTATGACAAGTGATTATGATATTAATGATTGCTTTCGAAGTACCTACATTCGTGCAATAGAAATATTATGGGCAATTATGGGATTGTTACTGTATAGTTTGTTAATATACTTGTTATTATTATTATTGTTACTGTTAAAGTTTGTTTGTATAATGTTTTTAATGTCTTGTCCTGGCTGGTTAAAAGATGCCCAAATCGTATTTTTAATCATATCTCAATTTTTTCAAATGGAACGAGGGTGGCTCATTAGCATATTTGGAAAAAGCATTTTTTACGAATAATTTGATACCACACACTTGGTATTTCAAGTCAAATTGTCGTTATGAACCGCATGTTACAATTTCAAATAAACCATATGTGAAAATGTCAAAAGTTGACATATGATATGTCATTCTAATCAGAGTGTCATTTTCTATCAAATAAAGTAAAAAAATACAGAGGATGCCATTTAAAAATCAAAAATTGTAGTCATTTCCGGTCAAACCCGAAAACAATTATTGAATACGTCAACCAATCCTAATTTATGACATAGACTAACATACCAAATCTCGTTGTTTTATCTGAAAAAATAAAAAAAATTATAGGGGTGAGCCACTTTTCAGACGCACCCAGTATATATTTGATCTATAAAATTATAATTTTCTTAATAAGTTTTTGCTGTATTTTTTTTTAAATTTGTGTTAATATTACAAGGTGAATAATCAAAATATCTGATGTCTTTGTAGGGCAAGTTCCAGCAAGACTTGTACTTTATCTTTTATCATGGTCGGGTTTCTTAGTATCCTTCATGATGAGAAACGACATAAATCTCGCTATAGTAGCAATGGTTGAAGAACCAACGCATGCAGATACCAACGTCTCACACGAATATTGTTTTGTTAAGGAAGATAATAATAACACAGCCCCTATAGTAAGTTTTAAGTTATTTATATTGGGTGAGTCTTAAATAAGTAAAAAACAACCATTATGAACACGATTATGAGTTTTTTTACGAAGAAAACAATTTGATTTTTTTCTTAATTTTTAGTTAAAAAACATGATTTTCTGATAATATAACAACACAGGTAGTAGATTAAATTTACAAGAAATCAGTGGCTCCCAAAATTTAAGGAAAAAATTATTTTTTTTGCAGATCTTCAAATTAAAATAACTTGGTTATTTTGGATTTATTTGAAAGACGGTAAAGAGGAAATATGTTTCTTTTATAGATATCTACCAGTCCTGAAAATATTTAAGACTCACCCACTATAATTTATTAAATAACAGTCAAAAATCGTTTAAATTTTTACTCATTGTCTCGTGTGAATTTTAATGGGAATTTTGAAACAAAATTTCAATATGACTTTTATGCATTTTTAGGATTATGGAGGAACATTGGATTGGTCCAGCCATATACAATCCTATGTTTTGGCATCATTTTATTGGGCGTATATTGTCTCACAAATTGTGGGAGGCTTAGCTACACAGAAATTGGGCACAAAACGCGTGTTTGGTTACGCACAATTGGCCACCGCACTTTGCAGTTTATCCATTCCATTAGCATCAGATACTCACTATGGTTTAGTAATCACCCTGCGATTTATTCAGGGATTTGCATCGGTAAATATTTCATCATTTTTAACTAGATTTTTATCATTCATTATTCAACATGATAACAAAATATTCTGAGTTTGCAATTTATGCTAGTAGTAATTATACAGGGTAATTTTTTAAGTAAATAATATTTAGAAACTTTTCTAGTTATTGGTACGGTTTCCATACGTTCGGGTGGCCGGCTGGAATTTTTAAAAATTTCCGAAAAATCTAATCGTAAAAACAACTCAACATTGTTAAATATTTTAGTCGTGTCTACTTCACTTTGTTCCATATCTACTAAACAGACATTATTACTGTACCGATATTGTTGGTAGTATTTGTTGTGGCGATATCTATCTGGTCAATTTTTTCGTTTTGAGTGCACTGTTGCATGGGAATTGTGAATTCTTTTGTCTTTATTTTGTTGTTTTTGTTACCCGTACTTTATGAGTATAAGCCTGTCTAACGATGAGTTACAATGAAATTTTTGTCTGTCATTTTAATTTACAAGTAAATTGTATTTTCTGTCATTTTTTGAGTGTTATTTTGAATGTGGAAGTCTTCCCTGACTCGTTGGATAGACTCTTGCTATGTTGCTGTTGCTATGCAACTCTTGTTATATTGCAACTCTTAAATTCATTTGGTATTGATAATCAGTCGTAAGTGCCCTCAAAAAAATTGATTTCGGTGACGTATTTTCGCCATTAAAAAGTGTTAGGACTAGGGTTTCCAAACCTGGATCCCGAAATCCCAGTATTCCGATGTATGTTTAATCCCGAAATCCCGATATTAAAACCCGGGATCCTGAAAATATCGAAAAATTTAAATGCCCAATCTAAAATGATTCAACTTTGTACGATTTAAGCTTAATTTTCATGCATCCGTTGTCCGACGATACGATGATACGATATTAATTTTATTGGTTGAATTTAAAGGCTTCGATTGGTTAACCGTTTCTAACCAATCGAAGCCTTTAAATTCAACCAATAAAATTAATATCGTATCATTGTATCGTCGGATAACGGATGCCTGAAAATCAAGCTTTAGTCTTTAAAACATCATATTTTATTTTTTCAACAAGAATTGATTTTTTTTATCACTAAATATGAATGTTACTTTGTTTTGTCTATTTTAATAAAGCTTTTTTCTCATTTTCTTTTTGATATATGTATCTGCATTTTTATTACTTCTTTAAATTAAATTTCTCATTTTGATAGTCAATCCCGGACTTCCGGGATCATAGGTTCTAATCCCGGGATTTCAAAAGGGGATCTTGATCCCGAAAATTGGAAACCCTAGTTTTGCTGCCTTACAGTTGTCTTTTGCATTTCTACATGGTGATTATATCATTAAAGGGTAGGCTGCCTAGCATCATTCTCGAGTATAGTATAGTCTTGAAAGTACTATCCAATAACCAATATGTCGTTTGGTTGAAATATTAGAGATAGGTAATGGTCTACCGAACAACTAAATAACCTGCTTTACTTCTGATTTTCAAGGCTTCAAGGCTTCAAGGCTTTGAGTTTGTTGATGTCCAACTGTATTTCTAACTTTTAGGTGGGATTTTTTCAAAAATAGATATATTTTTCTGTCATTTCTTGGATGTCTTCTGCTGAAATCGCCCCTTTGACCACAGTCATAGTGTATATTCAAAATATATTTATTGTATTGGCGATTTTTGGAGCAGCAAGTTGCTATATATTTTTTTCTTTCTAAGAATATTCCCTACTTTATTTAAACTAATAATAAGTATATAGTAGAATTTTGATAGTTTGTATACATATCGGAATTAACACCGCCGAATTAATGAAGTATCCGGATTACTGGAGTAATATTTTTATAATGTTATTGTTTCATACTGTTAAGGATTCCGTAGGTCCACTAATTTAAACTCACGATAAAATACTTAACTAATTTATTTTTCTTAATTTACACACAATTTATACTAATAACACACAATTAACTACTTATATAATTCCTTCGCCAAATTGTCCGATTCGTAATAATTTAAAACGCGGTATATTCAAACTTCAAACTGGTCCAACTGCCAAGCGCGGGCCTTTATATACTCCTACTGACTGTTTCTCGAAACTTCTGTAATTTTCGATACTTTTCCGCCATCTACCAGTAAATTCTATTGTCTGATTCGCTTACTTGTCGACTTGATTAAGAGATGGCGCCTAAAAATGTCTTTTACTTTTTGGTGAATTCGCCATGTTTCTTGACACGTTGCGGCAATGTAGGCAACCTAGTTTAGCGCCACATACATCTTGACAATACTTTTATTGTTTTCCACGTGAACTTAAAATTTAAACACATTTTTTAATCGATTGTTATCTGCATACATACTTCGATTTTGCTGCCTCAACAGCCTTCTCTGTTACTAATTTCAAAAGCAAAATATCTTGCGTAGAAACATCGTTCTCTTCTACTTAGTGAATCCTTTTTGATACAGATTTTACAGCATTGCCAAGTTTCATTTTCAACACAACAATATTATCCTCAGTTTCACTTAAGTCAACATTTGTTTCCTTTATTTCCAATGCCTATATTTTCTTTTCAATTTGTGTCTGCCTTATTATACTCGTCAGTCAACCCAGAGGCAAATTCTTTTTCTCCTTAAGTTTATTTACATTTTTTTTTATTTTGTACATGGTAGATATGATTTTTTATATCTGAAATATTAAATTTTGGAACTGCAAAAAATGGGTTGTTACGTATGACACAGAAAATGTTAGGTATCCTTCCTTTTTTGTCAATGCAATCCAATCCTGCATTTCTTCAGCAAGAGTCGTTTAGTTGGCTCTATTTTTTAGCACTAATACTCCTGGCTCCTGTACTACTAAGAAGACTACATACTGCATCTAACCGTCCACCGTCCAAGAAAAATGCGGACTTTCATTCATTAGCCTTTGAATTTTGTTGGCATCCGGAATAAACAGGTAAAAATATCAAAATTGTCCGGTTGATAAGAGACGCCGAACGACTGGAGTGTTCGATTTGGCGCCGTGTCCGAATTAGTAAAGTTCTGCTGTATTTAAATATTGTCAAGAAAAATGGCGCATCCGCCAGAAATTAAAAATGTATTACTGGTTGCCTGCACAACCGCAACGTATCCGCCAGAAATTAAAAGACTTTTTCAGGCGCCATCTTTTAGTCAAGTCGAGAAGTAAGGGAATCAGACAATAGAATTGTCTGGTATGAAGAAGTACGCTTTCCGAGAATTGGGAAATTTCGAGAAGCAGTCAATAGAGTATATAAGCCGGAGCCATCGACAACGGAGACAGTTTTTGAAATTTGAATATACCGCGTGAAAATTGAAAATCGGACAATTTGGTGAAGGAATCTTATAAATAGTTAGTTTGTTGTGTGTTATAAGTTAGTAATGTGTATAAAGTGCGATTCAAGAGGATTCGTTAAGAATTTTTATGGATTGGACGATTTAGTGGACCCACGGAATCCGTAACAATTGGTGTCGGAGAGTGCGATTCAAGAGGATTTTAAGAAGAAATTAAGTGGATTGGACGATTTTACACCGAATTTGGGAATTTTATGGTTGGTACGAGACAGCAAGCGAGGAAAATGGAGGAAGTAAAACTATTGGGCGATTTTATGGAGAATATGAGAAGAGAGAAAGCTGAAGAACAAGAAAGACTACTACGTAGAGAAAAGGAAGAGGAAAAATTACGACGTCAACAAGAACAGGACCGGCTTGAGAACATTTTCGAAGACTTAAAAATTCAACGACAACAAGATAAACAAGAAAACAGGACCGGCTTGAGAAAATGTTGGGTAATTTGGAAATTCGTTTGGAGGAGCGACGTCAGAGAGAAAAGCAAGAAGAACAGGACCGGCTTCAGAAAATTTTAGAAAATCAGGAAATTCGACTTCACAAAAACTTCGAGGATATGAAAAATGAGCAACAAGCAATGTTGTAAGTACGTTGCCAGGAACAGCAGAACCACTTCCAAGAAGCCGTAGAAGATCTTGAGGAACGCCTTCAGCAGAAGATAGAAAGATTGGAGATGGACCTACAGAAAACCAAGGTACAAGTAAGGACACCTGGCGTTCATGGAACTGCGAACCTGAAGGCACCGACCTACGATGGACAAACCACCTGGACGATGTACCACCGCCAGTTTGAAGCAGCGGCTGCTGCCAATGGATGGACTGACCAGGAGAAAGCAGCGGCACTCATCATCGCGCTGCGTGGCCCTGCCCTGGAATTGCTACAAACTATTCCTGCAGCCCAACAGCAGGAGTACGAAACCTTGGTTACTGCATTGGACCGAAGATATGGCGACCAACATCGACGTCAACTTTACCAGGCCCAGATCAAGACACGCATGCAGAGGTCCGGAGAGATCTGCAGGAATTTGAAGCAGACTTACGTCGGCTGGTACACCTGGCATATCCAGAAGCACCGGAAGGATTTAGGGAGGAACTCGCTGCTCAGTGCTTTATCAGCGGACTGAGGGACAACGAATTAGAGAGGGCGCTGCAAATATCCCGATTTTCTACCAGCAGCGAAGCACTGGTCAGGGCGCTGGAAATCGAAGCTGCTTTTAGCGCCATCCCTAGACCGAAGATAAGATCGGTAGCGGTCGAGGAACAGCCCGAAAACACTCACAGAGGTTTGGAGGAGATGTGTAAGAAAGTCGACAAACTATGTGAGCTACTAATAAACAAGGGAGTCAGCAACACCCAGACAGAAAACCAGAGAAGATTCCAGGACATAAGGTGCTTTAGAGGTGGCAGGAATGGCCACATTAAACGGTATTGCCGCGTTCAAATGCGATCCCGTTCACCATCCAGAGAACGTAGGCACCAGGAAAACTAAAATCAGTCAATACTAAGGGGCGAGTATTGACTGGGGAGAACAGAGCCCCAAGGATTTTTTCCATTAGAAATCTAGGAAGAACCGCTGACAGTTTGGTGATCGACGGGAAAGTCAATGGAAAGGGAATCCGAATGACAGTGGACACTGGCGCTATGGTTTCGTTGGTGCGGGCTAACTCAGTGCAAGGATTGAAGCTGGTGCCTCTGAGAAGAAGAGTGTGTTTACGTACAGTTACGGGGGAAATGGCCGTTGTACGGAGAGGCTATCGTCGAACTGAAGTTAGGAAATTTGAAGTTCCAGCATAGCGTTTTAGTGGCAGATATTGAAGATGACTTCATCTTGGGCATGGATGTGATTCGTCAACATGGATTTTCGTTCGATCACCAGAGAAATATCTTAAATATTGGAAATGAAGAGTTCATGTTATCTCCAGACGAGGGACCAGGAAGAATGGATGTAAGATCAGCGGAAACTGTGGTGATACCTGGTAATACCGAGAAGATCGTATTCGGTAAAGTGGAGAAAATCGCTGGGTGCTGTGTTGGACTGGTACAAAGTAGCGACAAGAAACAAGATAGGTACTTAGTAGGAAAATCATTGGTGAACACCGACAAGAATATACCGATCAGAATTGCGAATGTTTTCCCGAATTGTGTCAAGATCCGAAAAGGTGACAAGATAGCCATCTGCGAACCTGTAAGAAGTGTCACCCGATGTGATGAAGTGTCGTCAGCTGTTACACAAAAGGCATCCCAAGAAACACTAAAACATCTAGAACAGCCATGGGATCACCTAACACCTGAGGAGAAACAGAAGGCCAAGCAGTTCCTGCTAAAGCGTGGCAGTATTTTTGAGAAGAACAACAGTGGAAGAACGGATTTTGTGAAGCACCGGATTAATACTGGTCATGCTCAGCCGATTCGACAACGTCCTAGAAGGGTGCCCCTTTCCAAACAACAAGAAATGGAGACAATGGTAGATAAGATGTTAGAAGATGGAGTAATCGAAGAATCATCAAGTCCATGGTCATCTCCTGTTGTTTTGGTAACGAAGAAAGATGGTAGTACACGATTCTGCGTGGATTATAGGAAGCTCAATGACGTCACTAAGAAAGATAGCTACCCACTGCCACGTATAGATGACACATTAACAACTCTCGCAGGTTCGTGCTGGTTCTCCACTCTCGACTTAAAGAGTGGATACTGGCAAGTTGGTCTGGACGAGGAAGACAAAGAAAAGACGGCTTTTTCTACAGGAAATGGACTATACCAATTCAAGGTCATGCCGTTTGGATTATGCAATGCTCCAGCCACTTTCGAATGTCTCATGGAGGTGGTGTTAAGAGGATTAACTTGGAAAACGTGCTTGGTTTACCTCGACGATGTATTGGTTATGGGAAGAACTTTTGAGGAGCATTTGCGAAATTTAGAAGAAGTCTTTGGCCGCATACGGAATGCTCACCTGTACTTGAACCCGAAGAAGTGTAGCTTATTCCAGCGACAAGTGGAATTCTTGGGTCATGTAGTCTCGGCAGACGGAATTTACACCGACCAGAAGAAAATCGCTGCGATCAAGGATTGGCCTAAACTCGCGACAAACATGAACTTAGAAGTTTTCTGGGTTTATGCACCTATTACAGAAGATTTGTCAAGGGATTTGCCAATATAGCTGCACCCTTACATAGACTTACAGGTGATGAAGTCGGCTACGAATGGAACACCGATTGTGATGTAGCCTTTGGAAGACTTAAGGCGGCTTTATGTTCAAGTCCTATTCTAGCCTACCCGCAACAACAAGGGAGGTATATCCTGGATACCGACGCCAGCAATATCGGCATAGGTGCAGTGCTATCACAAGTGCAAGATGGCGAAGAACGAGTGATAGAATATTACAGTCGAGTTCTATCCAAACCAGAAAGGAATTACTGCGTTACCCGGAAGGAGCTGCTAGCAATTGTGAAGGCAGTTGATCATTTTCATAAATATCTGTACGGCCAAGAATTTTTAATTAGGACAGATCATGCGGCTCTCAAGTGGCTTATGGAGATGAAACAACCTGAAGGTCAAATAGCACGATGGCTCGAGAAGCTCCAACAGTATCACTTTACCATCCAACATCGTGCTGGAAAAATGCATGGTAACGCAGACGGTTTATCCAGAAGACCCTGTCAAACCGATTGTAAGCACTGCTGTAAAACGGAACAACGTGAAGGCACTGTCATGATAAGGAGTTTTAAACTTGGAACCGATGAACAGTGGACGACGACACAATTGAGGAAAGATCAAATGGAAGATCCAGACATCGGAGCAATACTACGGCTCAAGGAAGGTAACGGCGAGAGACCACCGTGGCAGGATATTGCGGACAGAGGGCTCGTTTTCAAAGCTCTCTGGGCTCAGTGGAATTCACTGGTTATTGAGAATGGATTGTTAAAGCGCACGTGGGAAAGTGCGGATGGCAGGACAGTAACAACTCAGTTACTGGTACCAAGGAAGAAAGTTACCAGGTATTGGAAGAAATTCACGGTGGTAAAACTGGAGCCCATCTTGGGGTAAACAAGACCTTGAGCAAGCTGAGACTGGGTGGATTATTGTGAAGATGTCAAGAAATGGTGTCGACAATGTAAAATTTGTGCAGCCAGCCAAGGACCAAGCACTCGATCTAGGGGAAAAATGAAACAATATAACGTTGGACTGCCATTCGAAAGAATCGCTGTTGACATTGCAGGTCCATTCCCTGAAACGCACAAGGGCAAGAAGTACGTTTTAGTGGCGATGGATTATTTCAGTAAATGGCCAGAAGTTTTTGCCATTCCAAACCAAGAAGCATCGACTGTAGCTGAAGTATTAGTCAATAATGTCTTCAGTAGATTTGGAATTCCTTTAGAGCTTCACACTGACCAAGGAAGGAACTTCGAGTCAACACTGTTCCAGAAGATGTGTGATCTGCTTGGTATTCACAAGACTAGGACAACAGCTTTACATCCGCAGTCTGATGGGATGGTCGAGAGATTCAACAAGACCATTGAAGAACATCTCTCGAAAATGGTGGATGAACATCAAAGAGATTGGGATCAGCATATACCACTATTCCTAATGGCATATAGAAGTGCAGTTCACAACACCACCGGACTTTCACCATCGAAGATTTTATTTGGTCGAGAATTACGGTTGCCTTGTGACTTGGTGTTCGGATCACCAGACGACAGCACCACGAACGTAGAGGACTACGCGGATGAACTGAAGGAAAGGTTATTGGGAATTCATAAGGCCGTGAGAAGTAAGATTACGCTAGCCAGTGACCGGATGAAAGCTCGTTACGACCTCAGAGCTAATTCTACGGGATTTCAACAGGACGATATGGTATGGTTATATAACCCACAGCGCAAGAAAGGGAGGTCCCCAAAGTTAACTCCAGCATGGGAAGGTCCTTATACAGTCATCAAGAGGATAAATGATGTTGTGTACCGGATTCAACGCAGCCCTAGAAGTAAGATGAAAGTAGTTCATCTGGATCGATTGAAGAGATACCAGACAGGAAACCTTGATCGGGACGATCAAATTTGAGAAGGGGGCAATGTCAAGAAAAATGGCGCATCCGCCAGAAATTAAAAATGTATTACTGGTTGCCTGCACAACCGCAACGTATCCGCCAGAAATTAAAGGACTTTTTCAGGCGCCATCTTTTAGTCAAGTCGAGAAGTAAGGGAATCAGACAATAGAATTGTCTGGTATGAAGAAGTACGCTTTCCGAGAATTGGGGAAATTTCGAGAAGCAGTCAATAGAGTATATAAGCCGGAGCCATCGACAACGGAGACAGTTTTTGAAATTTGAATATATCGCGTGAAAATTGAAAATCGGACAATTTGGTGAAGGAATCTTATAAATAGTTAGTTTGTTGTGTGTTATAAGTTAGTAATTGTGTATAAAGTGAGAAAATAAATTCGTTAAGTATTTTATCGCGAGTTTAAATTAGTGGACCCACGGAATCCGTAACAATATGAATTGAATTTAGAACTATAATTTCTAATTAACAGATTTTACTTAATTACCCTGTATACTATTACCATTTCCAATTAATATGATAAAGCGACAGCTGAATATCAGGTTACTTTGTTGCATTTGAAGTACTTCTGTAAATAGTTCATTTATCACACATTCAACTGAAGATGTGTTGTGTTTGCAAACATCTAGAAATCTCAAGAAAGATGGAAAGACATGAATATCAGGGAAGCCAAATCGACTTCATCATCATGTAAATACTTAAACTATTTTAGGGTCTGACATGGCCTGCTATGTACGCCTTAGTAGGGCACTGGATTCCTGTCCCAGAAAGAAGTCGCTTCATGTCCAGTTTTCAAGGTAAATCTTGTTTTATTTATTTTTTAATGTATTATTCAAAAAAAGCTATAAATAGCTAATAACTACATTCTTTTTAGGTTTTAGTATAGGAATCGGTATAACGTACCCCCTGTGTGGCTTTCTGATAGCTCATTTAGGATGGAGATCAGTATTCTATACTACAGGTTCCATAGGAGTGTTGTGGTGTTTGATTTGGTATCTTTTGGCATTTGACAGTCCAGAAACCCATCCACGTATAAGTCTGAGGGAACAACGATATATTAGGGAAAATACTGATAATACTTATGAAAATTCCAGGTATTTTCTCTAATTCTGATGAAATATATTTATTAACTTAAATTCTAATGGCATGTGTAGTATTTTCTCTATTTTTACTATGTATTAGTATACCAAGGGCTGACAAAGGTTAGTTTTGGGTCGAGATTTCCGTATGTTAGAAGAGTACAATGCGTTTATAATGTACTGAACAAAGAGAGCAGTAAAAACGTTACCAAACGTATGAAATAATCTCTGCACATTGCTAAGAGACGTGGAAGGGGATACAGCAGATTTGTCGCGGTCGATACTGATACTTTATTTGTTTATTTATTAACGAATCGTAATTTTCTCTATAACTTGTAAATTTTTAAACTTGCACTTTTGGTAAAAGTAAGTGGAATTGAATTGTGTTCGACAGTGGTCCCGCTATTAGAACTCTGAAAAATCGATATCTCGAAATCCATTAGAAATAATTATTGATTTTAGTTTTTTCAAAAACTTTCTTAATATTTCTGCTATATTTTCTTCGCAGACAGTATGTGAAAATCATTACATATAAAAAAGTTACACGATTGCTGAAAATTGCTATGCACTGAAAGTAAATGGAAGTGTTTTTTAAAATTTTTGAATGGAAAAAAAACAAGCCAATAAAAAAAGTATCAATATCTAAAGTGGTTGTTCAGTTATCGCGTGTTATGTGTTAAAAAGTTTAGTTTTTAAATTATCACGATTACTGACGGTTTCTCGTTATAAAAAATATGGACACCCTAACGGTATCCTTATAATTCCAGTTCAGCTGACCAGAAACATATCTAATTATTTTATCTAGTTAAAAGTCTTAAAAATAAGCGGTTTACGATTCTGATTTTACTTTACTTGATAGGGAAAGGCGTACCGGAGAAATGTGGAAACACCGCAACAGCACACCGTTGCATTTCTCTCACTCCGTTTTAATAAGATCTCTATGCGATTTGCTTCCACACATGTAAATACCGACCCAAAAGTAAGAGTTGCCAACACGGTATACATATATAATTATAATCATAAATTATTCCTTTGTATTATCATTAAGGGTGAAAATAGCTCTGAGTTCTAGATAAATATATTTTAAATTTCAGTAAATTATTATTTTATTATTAGGTATAGAATATATATTTTTATTACGGTATATAACAAATATTTTTAATATTTTAGGACCCAAAAAGTTCCATGGAAATCAATTTTACTATCTCCAGCAGCTTGGTCTATTGGAATAACCACATTTGGTCGTATTTGGGTTCATTACACCTTTATCATCTCAGGACCAACTTATATGAAAAGAATATTAGGCTTTAGTATAGAAAAAGTACAAACAATTGTACAAGTCTGACAAATATATTAATATAAATTTTGTTTTAGAATGGATTATTATCTGGTGCTCCATTTATCTGTAGTTATGTAGCATCGGTATTTTTCTGTTATGTAGCTGATAAATTAATTACTCAAAAGTATATGTCACTGACCAATGTTCGAAAACTAATGACTGCTCTCTGTAAGTATTTTGTTATTATACATAATTTTTCTCTTGTATGGTATAGGTACCGTATGATCGAGAAAAAACGGCGTCAACGATGGCTATGAAATGAAGACCGCTGTCATTTTATATGTAAATTTGTATGGGAAATGTCATCGATAGTCATTTCCCAGCCAACTGGACGCCGTTTTTTTTTCGATCATACTGTATAATCCTCCTTTTGCATACAGTGTAAGCTTCATTCAGAAACTCGCAATTAGTGGAATAAATTAGTGGTTTCAATTACACTTGATAGTTTTTAGTTTACAATCATTCACAATGTCTAAAAAGCATAATTAAAATTAATAGAATATCCTAATAACAGCTTGCTTTAGTCAGTTGTATCCATAGAGAAAGCCTAATATTTAGCTTATAAAACAATAAACTTTTGTGTTTCTAACCACAATTTCTCTTGACGGATGATAATCAAAGGCCAAAATGACATTTCTCGCAACTTTTGAAGTATAATTAGTAGAAAAGTTAAAAGTTTTAGCTTCATTCAGAACCTCCCAATTAGTGGAATAAATTAGTGGTTTCAATTACACTTTATAATTTTTAGTTTACGATCATTCACAATGTCTAAAAAACATTCAAAACTAATAAAATATCCTAGTAACAGCTTGCGGTAGTCTGTTGTATCCATAGAGAAAGCATAATATTTAGCTTATAAAACAATAAACTTTTGATTTCTAACCAAAATGTTTCTTGACGGGTGATAATCAAAGACATTCATCGCAAATTTTGAAGGATATTTAGTGGAAAAGTCAAAAGTTTGTCAACTTTTTCCACTGATTGAAAATTACTACCACTAATTATGATGTTCTGAATGCTTACATTAAAATTAGGTGAACAAACTTCTACGACTAATTGAAACTACTAATTTATTCCACTGATTTCGAGGTTCTGAATGGAGCTTAGTTCCTCTAATTGAAGATTACTACCTCTAATTTTAACTTTGTGAAGGCTTACATTGATATTAGAGGATCAAATTTCTAGCTTAAAGCTTCATTCAGAACCTCAAAATTAGTGGAATAAATAGTGGTTTCAATTAGCGTAGAAGTTTGTTCCTTTAATTTCAATGTAAGCATTCAAAACATCAAAATTATTGGTAGACATTTTCAATTAGTAGAAAAAGTTATCAAACTTTTAACTTTTCCACTAATTATACCTCAAAACTAAACTAAAAAGTATAAAGTGTAATTGAAACCGCTAATTTATTCGACTAATTGCAAGGTTCTGTACGAAACTTGTTTCGAACACGAAAAAATTGTTGCATAGAGAAATTAGTAGATCTTCTACAGGTATAGTATATTTACCCAGTTTTATTTTCTACAAACGACATCCAAAAATCACAGAAAATACTATTCATAGATAAATGAAACAAGTTTAGATTGGAAAGTGCCCATAAGGACAATGTAAACACTATTTGGCGCTATTCTTGCAACGGTCGCGACCCGAACTTTTGAAAAATTCGGAGTGGTTCGGCTTTTTTCGGAATTATATCGCCAAATATTATTTATTCAAATTTATTATTATTTTCTTTTAATTTTCTAAATAAAATACATTATGTTGCATACAAGAAACTTTATTTTATATAAGGACATGTATGAATTACCTATGAAACATTCGAAACCGACGTTGTGCCACGATCCACGATGGTTTTTGCGTTTCACAGTTCACAGCACAGCTTTTAAGTTTTTAATGTCACTTTTTCACAATTATCACGGGTTTGACTAAATAAAACTTAAATTAAACTCACAAGATAGCAATAATTACTTTGATGAAATGGAATGAAAATGGACGCTTTAAACACTTTTCGGAATTTTTTCAATGAGAGCGGTTTAGATTTAGAAAGATTTTATAATTTTTGAAGACTCTGACTTTGACAAGAGATATGGACAAGAGAAAGTTATTTCTGTTTTTGTTTGTGGTTGTTTTTAGCAACCGCTATTGCAGCGCCAGATCGCGTACAACGGTCGCGACCCAAAATAATTTCGCGACCCAAAATTTTGACGGGCTTTCCAATCTAAACTTGTTTCATTTATCTATGATACTATTTACCTGCTAATTAAAATGACAGTTTTTATAGTCGATATAATATGGTCTGTTTTGCAACTCAGGGAAAATTTCAACAGACGACATTCTAACAATGACAGAAAATATAATTTTTACTTATTTAAATAAATTAATTTACTTATAATTAAAATGTCAGTTAATGTATGTTGTAGAATGTAGACTGTAGAATGTTTAGGAGGGGAGTTAATCACCGCGACCTTATAGATCTATTGTGTGTTCCTCTTTCTTGAGTTTTAACGAGTTATAACTCATCATACAGTCTCAGGGCTTTAACAAAAGCCAGTATCTGAGACGGCTCCACAGAGGCCAGCTCTCCACCCTCGCCTAATGTATGTTAAATGTAAATATTTATTTAAACATTTCATCTTTTAAAAAGTGCTAATTATGGAAAATTTGAGATATAGTTATTCGATTTTCAGTTATAGGAAAAAACAGTCTTTCAAGCATCTATACCTTTAAATAAATTCCGATAATCCACGCTCTACTGCATTTAAATTTTACAGATAGGACATGGCTCGTTAAATCAGGCAGGTGGATATTTTTCAGAAATTTAACTGATAATCGGTCATTTTCTATAATTTTCTGTTATTTAACAATCCGCGATAAATAGATCAAAACAGATTTTAGTTTAAATTATATGCCAATCAAGGACAAACTTTTCTAGACCATTTTTGTAATCATTTTAAAGGCATTATTTAACTATTTTTAAACGTAGAATTACATATTTTTAAATGCGTGTTTAATTTATGTAAATTCCGATTTTCTTTTAATTTTTTTTTCAGTATAATATAATATACCGGGTGGTGGCATCGTCGTTGGAAACATAGGAAATCCCGTGCAAATTTTGAACTGATTAAATATTGGCTCCTTTATTGATTTTATAATGAACCGTAAATAGATTTTTTAAAGGTCCACGTTTGGTAAATACACATGCCAAATTTGAACAATATTGGACAAACCGATTTTGAGTAATTTGAGAAAAATGCATCTATTTTTAAATCAAAACTGAACAGGTAACAATCAAAGACAAATGTTCTCAGATGTCCTCCACGAATTTTCGTAATATACTACCTCCACCAGTGTTTTTGTTATGTAACTTTTTGTTTTTGCCCCAATTTGCCCCCTTGTTAGTTATTAAATTTTTTAGATGTCTTCTATGAGATACCCAAAAATATATTATTTGAAGAGTGGCTATTAAGTAGTTCAATGGACAAAGAACACATGATTGTTTTGAAAATAAAAACATTTTAAACCTAGAGGAAGACATTTTAGAGGAAAATATGAGTCGTTTAAGAGAAAAAAGTCATCTTTTTTGTATAAAACTTGAGGATATGTGGAAAAAATGCAGTCGAACACGTAGTAGGATGGAAAAAATCAGTTTAGAGTGCGATCTTTATTTTAAGCACTACAAGGCAGATACCACGGTAGTTTATTATTAGAAAGTACTTAAAACCATTCCAGGTCTAACGGTATAACAACTATAAATTATTGTTACTCAACTTTTCCAGAGTTTTTAAAAATGTCATAGATGAAATTAACTTTTACATCCAAGTAAAGAATACACTCAAGAAAAATTTTAACTGAATTTTAAAAGTATCTTTTTTTAATTTCTGGAAAACTAAAAGCATCCAGATAAGTATCCAGAAGTTTATTGAAGGGGTAAAATCGATCCCTATCAAATTAAATCTTGGTAAAAAACAAATTCCCCCTGCTTTATTTCAATATATTTCAAAAAAATCTGGAAAATACTCTATCCAGAAATCCAAGAACTCAATTTTGACCTCAAATTCGTGATCCCCGACCGCGAAAACCCCCCAGATACCAAATTTCAGTCGAATTTCGAGAACGTAATGCTTTTTGTCTCATTATCCCATCTGATAGAAACACTGTGCGCCGTTTTGAAATGTAACTTAATTTTAATAAAATTTTCATATCGAGTACTAGTAATTGGTGGTAAAGGTATGTCGGTTTTTGACTGGTGTTTGTTATCTGTAAATAGATGCAATCTTTCTTAAATTACACAAAATCGGCTGGTCAAATGGAAAAATTACGGGGACACTCAATTTTGTTTTTGAAATAAAGGAAATAATTGTTTTTTATAATGTTTGTATGTAAAATTACACTCATCAAAAGTATTTTTTACATTTTTACCTTCCTATTTTATATACAGGGTGTTCAGTTAGTGCGATAAAGTCCAGTATCTCGTTTGCTATTAAGAATTTTAAAATAATGCTAATACAAAAATTATAAGTAATAATGAATTGCCTCTTATTAAAATATTTTTAATTATACGGGGTGTGTAAGAAAAGTGCTACAGACCAAACTTCAGTTTATTTAAATAAAACACCCTGTATATTTTTTAAGGTTTCAATTCCTGGTACTTTTTCCAGCATTTCGATATAGGGGTGAATGGTTTATACTCTGTGTATCAAAAGTTACAGCCATTTTTATTTTTGACGCTCTATACCATTTACAGTACCTACCTAATATTATTTTGTTTTATTGCGTCAGGATATTAACAAGATAGTATTTTGTCATTGTATTTGTTGAATTTACAAGTGAATATTACAACTTAAAACAATGTTGACAATGATATTGTGTTACTTGGGTATTTTAACTGAATGTATTTACTGGTCTACAAAATGTTATCTTTATCAAGGCTTCCTCTGGAGAAAATGGTCATCTCGTTGTTTAACCTTCCTAAATTTTTTATTTTTGCCAACTCTTCTGGACTAAAAATCGTAGCTTTTTTGATGGCAAAAGCAACATTTCTCTTTCCTTTTTTTGTATATCCAGTCTGAGTAGCAAACGCAAGTTCAGCAGGATATATTGAGAAACCAATTCTTGTGTACGTCTTCTCTTAGTTCTAGTACTAACTGCACTAAATTCTCTTGAGTTCTTTCGCGAAGGCGTTTTTGCATGTTGCTGAAAGGTGCTTTGGCACTTAGATTTATAAACATATTCGTTAAGCGAAATTACATGTTTCTTTAAAAAGTGTTTCTTATTTCGGTAGCACCTTTTCCAACGTAAAGCAATTTGAGTTGAAAACCATGATATTTTGTTGGTTAGGTCATCATCGTCAGCAGTAGGGATGCGTTGTTTGACAAAGTCGGTCATCTTTTTTCTCACAACTCCCAACTAAAGAAGTGGCACTTCCTATCCAGCCATTTTCATTCAAAAGCTCATATAAGTGTTTTCGACTCACGCCCGAAACTGTACATAATAGAAAAAACAATAAAAATTTCACAAGACTGCACCTATCAGCAGCTCAGTATATTGTTACACGATAGGCAGATATACTAGCTTTAAAATAAATTGAGTTTGATGGTGAAGAAAAGGGTCGTTTTTTTTCTGAGCCTTCGATTCTTTAAACTTTAATAAAATTGTAAATACTTCTTTGGCAACTAATTATATCAAAATTCGTGTTTTGAAATTTTGTGGATTTGTCAGTCTTTACGGAGCTTATTTTATGTTATTTATTATTTATTCTACTACTGATAGTTGTATAAAGGTAGTAAATCTAGATGGAAATTGTGGCAGAACTTAAATTAACAGTGACACTATCGCGATTTATCGAAAAAGACTCTAAAATAGTTGGTTGTGTAGCGTGCGGTAGATCTCGGCAAAAATTGAGTGAAATAATGGAACAACTTTTCGCTAGTAAGTGACTATATAATATACATACGTGTAGTAAACCGATCATTTATCAAATTCATTTAAATTAACTAAATTATATATTTTTCTTGCATTTTAGCTTTTATTTATTACTTGTCAAAGAATTTAGATACGTTAATTTGACTTACCTGCTTCAGTAGCGTATCGGATATTTGTGTTAATAAATACTTATTATAACTTATCTATTTTTATTAGAATTTTATATTTTTATAACAATTTTAATAACTACCAACATTTATTCACAACGTAAAATAAAACAACAAATTATTGAGTCTACTCCACGTCTACCCTACATCATAGTTTTACCCTTTTTACATTTTTTAAATAAAATTAGAACGACACTGATAAACCGGAATTTAAGTCGGCCATATTTGAGACCCATCGCGGTGTACCTAAGATTTTTGATATGCTCCTTCCTTAGTCTTCTTATTCAAAGTTTGTACTTTATAAACCGTATAAAATTGTGATTATTTTGGAAATACGTGCAACTTTTAATGCGCATGTGCAAAATAAGGTCCTCGAGAAAGACAAACCTATTGAACGTTTCATAAGTGCAATAAAGAAGTGAATGTCGTGATGTTGGAGACATATTTTTTAATGCTAAACTTAGGGCGTTGATTTATCCACGTAAGTATATATGATCTAGGTCCTTTGGACAGTTCAAAATTTGCATGCGATTTCCTATGTTTCCAACGACGATGCACCACGCGGTATATTGAAAGACAATCAAAATTAATTAAGGCATTAATTAATAATGACGTAACGTTGAACGATCGCTGAACAGACAGTATGTACATATCTTAAGACAAAGCATTTATAAAAAATAAATTAGAAGTTATTTTATGTGTTCTACTATTTAAAGCGAAGTACATATTTTTAACGTTTTCTGAGATTATTATATTAATGATATTTTCTTTTCATTTCAGCTCAGGTATTTCCTGGTATATTGGTACCACTTATTAGTTACTTAGGTTGTGAAGTTGAATTGGTATTAGTTGTATGGTTCACTGCCGTTACTTTAATTACTGCTTCATATGCGGGTAAGTAAGTTTAAATATTACAACTACATAATATACCTGATGCGTCTCAAAAGTGGCTCACCCCTATGACTTTTTTATTTTTTTAGATAAAAAGACGAGATTTGGTATGTTAGTATGTGAATAAGGATTGATAGTATATGAATAAGGATTGATTGGCGTATTCAATTGTTTTTGGTACTTTACTACAACTTTTGATTTCTAAATGGCATCCTCGGTATTTTTTTACTTTACTGGATAGAAAATGACATTCTTAATAAAAAATCGTATTTTAAATTTCAATCTAGAGTGTCATGGCTATGTTAAAAACACTATTTCTTAATCAAGGAGCCTTGGAAATAAAGATTTGATGTTTTTTTTTAGTGTCTTGTTCTGGCCGATTAAAAAATGCCCTAATCGTATTTTTAATCATATCACAATTTTTTTTGAAATGGAACGAGGGTGGCTCATTAACATATTTGGAAAAAGCATTTTTTTACGAAAAATTTGATACCACACATTTGGTATTTCAAGGCAAATTTTCGTTACGAACCGCAAGTTATAATTTCAAAGAAAATGTCAAAAGTTGACATATGATATGTCACTCTATTCAATGTGTTATTTTCTATCGATCCCTCCTGGGTATTTTTTTACTTTATTCAAAAAAAATTAAAAATCAAAAGTTGTAGTCATTTCCTGTGAAACAGGAAGTGACCGAAAACAGTTGAATACTTCAATCAATCCTAAGTTATGTCATATACTAACACAACAAATCTTGTTTTTTAACTGAAAAAATAAAAAGTTATAGGGGTGAACCACTTTTGAGACGCACCCGGTCTCACTAACCCTGGTCATTTTATTTCCGTGGTCTGCATCTTAATGCAGTCAATAGAGATAAATATATACGTCCAGTTGACAGACAGAGAGACAAAATAAAAAGCGGCATACAGTGTTGTCGGTTCGTGCGTGAAATAACATAATAAACGAAGATAACATATCTATGCTATTTAATTAATTATTTATTTTTGACTTTAGTTACTAAGGTGCTAAACTAACAACTATGATTGTCAGTAGTTTCACCAACGACAGAACGTAGATCTGAGGCCGAGACTTAGGCCCGCATTTATAGTCGCGTCTCTAACTGGGTCTCCGAAAAGACAAATAAAATAACAGGCCTATTAGACGCGTGTATACGGACGACGAAACGTAAGCCTGTTAGTAAGCCTTGGATTTTTGTCTGTCTTTTGAGTTTGAAGTCGCGTTTTGAGACTAGACTATAAAAATACGGGCCTTAATAAGAATGTATTACAGCTGTAGTAAAACGAGCAACTAATTGTGGAAATTAAAGATAATAGAAATTAAAGCCTAGATGCAACATTTTTCGTAAACGCTTAATTGGGCTTAATTGAAATTTTGACGCAAAATCCGGCAATACCGCATAGAAGAAGTGTATCATATTTTTCTCTTTTTAACATATTTGATTATTCATTAAACTGTCTCCATCACTGTCTTAATCTTGATTTTCATGCATCCGTTTATACGTTGATACGATGGTCCGACGGTGCTCTGATTGGTCATAGCGTTTTCGCGCCACTTTTCATCCGTAAATATTTTACTTCAGGACCCGTTCATACGATAACGGACGTTTTGATACTTTTTTTGGCAAATTTAATCTAACCTTAATAAAAATATAAGTAAAATAGCAAAATCGTTATGGAAACGAAAATATAAAATAACACCAACGTATATCCGATAAACGGAGGCATGAAAATGCAATAATTTTAAAAACTGCGTTATTTTCTAACCAATCAAAGTCTTTAATATTCTACCAATAAAATTAATATCGTATCAACGTATCGTCGGACAACGGATGCATGAAAATCAAGCTTTACACGTTAAAATCCAGGCCATGCTTCTGTGATGACCAAATCTGTAACTCTAATCTGGACCTCTATAGAAGAGAATTGCGTTTTAAGTCGGCGTAATGTAGTAGCGTTTGTTTATAAACTATTTCTTCCTATTTTTTTTAATTTCTCGTCATAATTTGGAAGTTTTAAATTGTACAGGGTGTGTGTTCATTATCTGGTTTGTTTTGTAAACCACATGGCGTCAACACATGCTCTAGATCTTACTGTTTATATGTGTATCAAAGATATTAATATAATTATCCCTTTATTATTTTTAATCATAGTATTTTAAAATAATGGTATGCAATTTTAGGTGCTATGGCGAACGTCGTGGATATTGCCCCTAATTTTGCCGGTCCAGTATTAGCGTTTGCTCAAACTATTCATATGTCTGCCAGTTTCCTAAGCCCCTTAGCAAACTTTCACGTGTTAACCGGACAAGAACATTTAATGTCCGCATGGAGAACGGTGTTCTATGTTGCCTGTTTTGTTGCCTGTGCCACTTACATCTTTTATCAAATTTGGGGCACTGGAGAGGTAAGTTTTTAGTAGTGATGGGATAACTCGAGCGAAAATTCGCTCGAGTACTCAATTATTGAAATAACCGACATCGCTCGATTATGAACGAGCGATGCAAGTAACGAGTTATGAGCGACGAACGCAAGCGATCCTAGAATTAAATAAATTGAAATCCGATTTTAATGTGACATACTCGATAAAAAGCCGAGGGAATTTTCTACATATATTGCAGGTAGCAAATTTATACAACGTTATCCGTTGCGTATCTGAGGGACAACATTTTACGACCTATATCGACAATGGTTGGAAATAAACTAAATCAAGCGAACAAGCGAATCGCTTGCTACTTGCCATTCATCGCCGATGGAATATGTGCCATGCGCACGCAACCTACTGCTTGGCGCTTGGCGTTAACGAGTATTTACAACAAGCGACGGACGAAAAACTGTATTTTTAAATATGAGCGATATTTTGCTCGAGCGATCGCTCGGTTATTGCAATCGTTTGAAACTCGAGTACTCGATTATTGAAATTAATCGGTTTTTCCCATCACTAGTTTTTAATGCATATCTTAATAATTTTCACGTGTTTGTCAACTTGGTAGTGAGTTATGACAAATTATTAATACGTTGCTTGCCCCTTTGAACAAAGAATTTCTGATTATACTAATCTTAGGTTTACTTCCATCATAAGTATATTAAGATATATTTAATTGTTTAGTTTCCTTTTTCAACATAAAATTAAATTATGAATAATTCTTTATGATAATTTTAGATTAAAATTCAATGTCTTTAAGTTCTACAAAATATATATATAGATTAATATAAATTTACTATATGATTCGTCTTTCGAATTACTAGAGAAAATACTAAAAAATATGTTTTAAAAATGACTACAACAAAAATTAACTTAACAACTACCTTACAACTAATATGTTTTAAAGATACTAAACAACAATAAATTTATAAACAAAACTTATAATAATATACTACGACCTATTGCCAAGAACGAAAAGAAAACATATACAGGGTGAGTCTTAAATAAGTGCAAATATTTTCAGGGTTGGTAGATCTCGATAAAAGAAACATATTTTCTCGTTACCGTTTTTCAAGCAAGTCCAAAATAACCGAGTTATTTTACTTTGAAAATTACTAAAAAATATATTTGCAAATTAAATTTATTTTGTGAAACTTATAATCGTGTTTCTGAGGTCGAAATACACTACCTCTAAAAATATTTGCACTTATTTTAGACTCACCCTGTATTATATAATATATATGTATCGAGGGGTGTCTCACTTGGGTAAAAAATGTACATGTACTGCCAAAATATAATTTTGTTGCCAAGCGACTGCCAATGACTGCGAAGAAGACTGCCTATGACTGCCATGTAATTATTATAAGCGACTGCCGCAAGACTGCCAATGACTGCCGGCGACTGCCAAGAAAATGTACATGTAATTCCAATAGTGAGACACCCCTCGATATGTATATACAGGATCCGGCAATAGTGCGTCTGGCATCTGTAGCTCCTAGAATAAAAAACCTAAAGTATGTACTAGGATGTATTTCATGAAAATATTTTAACTTCTATAGGGTGGCCCGAAAATGTGTGAGCGGATCAGGATGATTTTTTTTAATGCAATACCCTGTATGTTATTGCATTTTTGGTTTCCTTTCACATCACTTTACATAATACTAAGATATGAGTAAATATATTTTGATAGTTTCAGAGATATTAATAAATGAACAAAAAATAAATATATTTCAGCCTTTCTTAAAAAAATTATTAAAAATACAAGAACTGTCTTGAAATCAAAACTTTATTAGGTATTTACTTTAGATGGTCCGTACTTAACTTTGCTATAAATATGGTAATGGTAAATCATACAGATGTTCAAAATTCTACGCCAAACTTTTTAAAATATAAAATAATTTTTCTTGATTTTTTTAAATGAAACACCCTGTATATCATTTTTTCAGTAGATGGAGAATTAAAAAATGATTTTTTTTTTGTATTTAGAGTGTTTAAATTTTTTTAACAGTTTTGCAGATATTCGCGGTTTTATATTTCATAAGGCATTTTCCACAGTAAATTTTTATCAAAGCCACCGTCTCGTATTTTACCGTTGAACGAGCCATATGGAATAATAATAATAATAATAATAGTGTCTTTATTAATATTCAAAGGAAAAATGTAACAAAAAATTCAACAAGATGGCGGCGTTCATTTACCATGCTCTTCTACGCAACCATCAATTAATTTCAGAATAATACTGCGTGTATCTGCGAAACCATTAAAAATAATTTTGAAATACTTTAATACAAAAAAAATCATTTTTTAATTCTCGATCTAATATATAAAATAATATAAGGGTGTTCCATTAAAAAAATATATATTTTAGAAAATTTGGCGTAGTAAATACATAATATAGTTTTGATTTCAGGACAGTTCTTGTTTAGGACGTATTTGTAATAATTTTTTTAAAGAAGTTTCAAAAATATATATACAGGGTGGCGCACCTCATTCGCCTCGGTTGATTATACGAAAACGGAAAGATGTAGAAACAAAATATTTTATGGGTATATGTGGGGAGACAATATGCACAATTTAAAATTATTTTAAAATATACAGGGTGTTTCAAAACTAAGATCCGTACCAAAGTTATATTTTTTCTTATGGAACACCCAGTATTTTATTTCATTTTTGATTCTTCGGCCCAAAAAAGGCATTTATTATAAGGGTTAAATATGTTTAAAATCTTTAGTTTTTGAGTTATTTAAAGATATTTAAATTTGCATGCTACCATAGAATCAACTATTAAGACCCTGTACATTACTTTTCAGAATTAATTCTTATGCTGAGTTTAAAGGTAGAGAAATAAACTTTACTGAAAAATGGTATCGGTTCCTTAAATTTATACAGGGCTATCAAAAGTTGCTGATCTATTTTAAGGATATATTTTATAGAAAAACTACGTTATTTCAAATGCAACACCCTGTATGTTTTTAAATAAATCGAAGCTGATTCAAATGCTCTTTCAAACTATATTAGGGTTTCCTATACCTATCTAGCTCAGATTATGAATAAAAAGCGATTTTTAAATAAAATTGCAATCAAGATGGCTGGTGTCGCCATGGCAATTTTCTAGTGACAGTTAGTAACTATTTTCAAAGTCGACATTAGTTTATGGACATTATTATTTATAATTTATAACAGTTTACTTAAATTTACCTACAATAGTTTAATAAGTAAGTATTCATTATTTTATCTAGAAAACTAAAGCAGTATCTGCTGTCGGAACGAATAGATATGTTACTAGTGATATTATTTTGTGAGGAAAATTGCTTCTTGGCCTCAAGGGCTTATGCTCAAAGATATCCAAATAGGAATCTTCCTGATAAGCGTTTCTTTGAAAAACTTCTTGTCCTATTTCGCAGAGCTGGTAGTGTGGTTTATAAAATACCTATTAGGCAGAAACCTGTCGTTGGAAGTGAATAAAATGAATTTGCCGTAATTGGCTATTTTATAGAAAATTCATATATCTACAAGTCATCGTAAAATAATTCAAAGAACTACTTCTTCGTTTTTCTTGATACAATAATATACACATATTTAATAAATATTATTTATTAAACTATTGTAGGTAAATTAAATAAAAGTCAACTGGTATAAATTTAAATAAGTCCATAAACTAATTTCGATTTTGAAAATAGCTACAAACTGTCACTAGAAACTTGCCATGACAACACTAGCCATCTTGATTACAATTTTATTGAAAAATCGCTTTTTATTCAAAATCTGAGCCAGATAGGTATAGGAAACTCTAATGTAGTTTGAAAGAGCATTTAAATCTGCCTCCAGTTATTTAAAAAAATACATAATGTTGCATTTGAAATAACGAAGTTTTTATGTAAAATAAATATTTAAAATAGACCAGCAATTTTTGATACCCCTGTATACATTTAAGGAAGGAATATCACTTTTCTGTAAAGTTTATTTCTCTACCTTTAAACTCAGCACAAGAACTAATTCTGAAAAGTAATGTACAGGGTGTTAATAATCTATTCTATTGTAGCATGCAAATTTAAATATCTTTAAATATTTCAAAAACCAAAGATTTTAAACATATTTAACCCTTATAATAAATACCTTTTTTTCGGCCGAAGAATCCAAAAATTAAATAAAATACCGGGTGTTCCATAAGAAAAAATATAACTTTGGTATGGATCTTAGTTCTGAAACACCCTGTACATTTCAAAATAATTTTAAATTGTGCACCTCCCCACATATACCCATAAAATATTTTGTTTCTACATCTTTCCGTTTTCGTATAATCAACCGAGGCGAATGAGGTGCGCCAGCCTGTATATTTTTTTACTTACTTATTAATATCTCTGAAATTATCGAAATATATTTATTCGTATTTAGGAATATGTAAAGTGATCTGAAAGCAAGCCAAAAATACAATAGTATACAGGGTGTTCAATTAAAAAAAGCATCCGATCCACTCACTTTTTTGAGCCACTCTATAGAAGTTAAAATATTTTCCTGAAATACATCCTCGTACATACTTTAGGTTTGCACTTAAACAAAATCCCCAATTTTTTTATTCTAGGAGCTACTACAGATATCCAACGCACTATTGCCGGACCCTGTATAATTTATTTAAGAAATATATCTGTTCAATCAGTATTCGGTACGAGAGCTAGCAACGTCGGAAAAACAAATACTTTAAGACGTCTGGCTCTTTGATATATCTTTTACTATGCTCTCTAGAACAGCATGCGGCCCGTCTGGCTGCCGGTAAACGTTGCGTTCTCTACTGCGCATTGAAAGAAGATCCTATATTTTTATTAGACCTTTAAATTCTAGTATTGAATATAAATCGAACATGTCTCCATAGCGCAGTGCGTAGAGTTTCCGACCACGAACCGATGATTCAGAGTTCGAATCCGGATCAAGGCAAAAACTTTTTTATTTTATTTTCGTTTATATTCTGATAGTAAAGAATTAAATATTTGTTTTTTTAATCACCAGGATTATTTAATACTTTACTATCAGAATATAAACGAAAATAAAATAAAAAAGTCTTTCCCTGACCGGGATTCGAACTCATCATCGGTTCGTGGTCGGAAACTCTACGCACTGCGCTGTGGAGACATGTTCGATTTATATTCAATACTAGAATTTATAGGACTAAATTAATAAAAAATATAGGATCTTCTTCCGATGCGCAGTAGTGAACGCAACGGGTATCGGCAGCCAGACGGGCCGCATGCTGTTCCAGAGAGCATAGTAAAAGATATATCAAAGAGCCAGTCGTCTTAAAATACTTTCTCGAAAACGTTGCTAGCTCTTAGACTATTACGAGTACAAATTGCTGCGATGTTTCTTTGGAGTTAGTAAAATATATTTTTTTAAATATTAAATTTCTAATTATTTATAAATTTATAAAAAAATTGTATGTATATCTATAAAATAATTTTGCAGACTCAGGCATGGAACTTTAATACTGATCAGCCTATCGACACTAAAGAAGTAGAGGAACTTATGATCAGATCTACACACAAAGAAGAAATTATAAATGGCAGTAATTACAGTAACAATATAATACGAGAAACAACTGATATAAATGGCATACAAAAAGACGACGTTAAAATTTAAATTAGTAAAGATCGAATGAAGTTACTTATATTTTACAGGGTTTATATATTTTCCAGAAACTTAATTTTATTTCTGTATTTGTATATATCTTATAACGCCATAACTATGTTCACGCTAAGAAGTGATAACGAATTCGATTAATAAGATATATATAATCAGTATTAACAACAGAAAATTGTTATATCTTATTAATAATCTCTCTTTTTTATATATTTAAATTATACAGGGTTGTTCACCACATGCGACACGGAGTATTGTAGCTAAACGATTAGATTTTTACAAATTGTAAGTTTTGGGTTCGTTGAAGGACTATTAGAGCTACAATTTAAAAATATTTTTACAATATATAGAGTGTCCCAAATAAGTAAAAAATATTATAGTTGTATTTTTTTAAATAGAACACCCTGTATATTATTCTATTTTTAGATTATACTATTAAAATAAAGGTAAATTTGATTAAGGTTTATCATACTTAAATCTTACCGTTTTTGAAATATTTTCAAATTTATGAAATTGCAGTAAAAATTTTAAGGCCTCATTTCTCCAAGGGTAAGTTTTTAGTACTAAATATTTACTGAAGATTATTTATTGATCAGATATTGTGTTGCAATAATAAAAATTTTACTGCCTTATACAGAGGGTCCAAAAATTTATATTAAATAATTACTAGCTTTAAACGGCAATAACTTGTTTAATTTAAATGGAACACCCTATATATTTTACGTGAATCAGATGCACAATGTAATTGTCTATTAAATTATATTATACCATTTTTTACCCATCTTTTCAATTTTGCGTAGAAAATGCATTTTCTAATAATTTAGACCTCATTTATCACTATACCCATGGAATATTGACATTTTAGATCATTTTTAAAAACGTAACAAATTTTCCGAGCGGTCAACCACCATGTTAAAAAATGTACAATGATTTCCATATTTGGCAATCACTCATCACTTATTCCCATGTATTCCCAAGTATTGCCACTGATTTCCACTAATTGCCAAGTATTTTTATATGATTCCCAGTTTTTAAACGATTCCCATGTGATTCCCGATTGATTACCTGATTTCCTCGCTGATTTTCTAAGCAATCACTTGATACCCAGCCAATTTAATTACGAAAACAATGTTTAAGTGTTTATTTTCGTTTTATTGTGATCGGAAAATATGTACTAGCCGCATCTAGCAAAAAAATGAATATTTTAAAACATCAGAAATTTTAAAAAATATTTCTTCATTACGCCATAAGCAATAATAAGCATGGTTTCTTAGAGATTTCATTATATTTCATTATAAATTTCAAGTTATAATAATTAAAATACACATATCTACCTACATTTAATGCTAAAAAATGAAACAAAATATGATGAATTGAAACTAAGAAAATCATTATGAATGACATGCGAGATACATTAACTAAGTAAAACTGAAACATACGTAATAGGCTTGTAAGTTAAACATAATAAAAAAAAAACATTGTACTAAAAATATTGAGGCAGGTACCTACTGCAATAGGAACATGGCATTAAAAATACATTGGCTAAAAGAAACTATAGGTAATAAAAATATTATTACCTATTTAAAAAAAGAACGAAACTGATAAATAGTATCTAAATAGATAAATTATTAATATTTAAAATCTTTGTATTTTTTGTTTATGGCAACCAAATCGTTTATCTTTATAGTAAACCGATCACAGCCCCATAATGTGATAGGTCCATGAAAAATGAAACGTGGATGAACTTCTTGTATATCGTATTTTTTGGGCCATTTAAAAATATCCTTGTCCTGTTGTAAAAATTTAATTTAAAATTTTTCTGATTTACAGTTAATTACTAGCCTTAGATACCATTGCGTGTCATAGTACACAGCATAATATGAGTCTAAGCTAATGGACTCGATAATGGACAATTTAGTCTTAATCGAGGTCTTAATCAAAAACACCCTCTCCACCCCTTACTTCTTAAAACTGCATGTTTGTATCTGTTTTGATAAGAAAATTATGAACTTACCCCCTTTACACCCTTCACCCACCTACACTCATTTTCGTTGATTAAATTGCGAGTTAAATTGTATTTTCGCCAGATCAAATCATCAATCTGAATACCGCCTATTCATATTTGATTTGGTTCCAAAATTGTGAATTTCCCCCCTTCACATTCACACTCACCCTCTTTTTTTTCATTAAATTATATTTTTACCACATAAAATCATGAATCTGAAACTGCAAGGTCGTATAATTTTTTAGAGATTTTACCCCTTTTACACCCCTTACCTACCCCTACACCGTTTTTTTATAAAAATTTCTTGTTATCAAATCAAAACATAAATCTGAACACCGCATATTTGTATCAGTTTTCACTACAAAATTCTGAATTTACCCCCTTTACACCCCTCACCCTCCCCTGTATTTCCGATTTTTTTTTATTGATTTTTGAAGATTGAGTTCATAAAACATAAAATCCCCGATAAAATCATAAAATCTGAAAACCGCATGTTTGTATCTGTTTTGGTGCCAAAGTTATGAATTTACCCCCTTTACACCCCTTAACCACCCCCATTACACTTAATCCCCATTTTTTTTCATAATAATGTATTGTCATCAGACTTACATTACTGTGCCAAATTTCATTAAAATCGGTTCATGGGAAGTGTGTCAAAAATGAATCGCAAGATTTGACAGACAGCCCAATCAGACAATACAAGTTAAATTAAATCGTTTAATCGAGCGTTTAATAATAACAATATGTCGTGACAATCATAAAGATACTTTTAACTCTTGGTGTTCTTATATTATTTGAATTTTATGATGATAATAATACAGCTATTTTAATTTAATTACATATTTTTTTATCAATTAGCTACTTTTGAAAATTCATTTTTGTTTAATCTGAACGCACCCAAAAATCAAAATTGACAAATAAAATTTAACCTTATTACCGAGCTTGTTACCATCTGGCTCAATGACTAAAGAATATAAGGACATGTAACGTCCATATATACGGGCTACAACAGAATTTGTGACCTTAGACGCCATTCTTTTGATGGCAAACAATGAGTCATCATTGTCAGCGACAATTTTAGCGATTTTTAATAGTTTGTGTGTAGTGAACTTTGTATAAACTTTATTACAATGGTGATTAGTTGTTCAGCTTTCAAGTGTAAAAGCAGCAGCGATAAGAAAGAGCCAGGAGTTACGTTTCATAAGTAAATAAACAGTCAGCTCCACCTTTTTAGCGTGTTTTAGTTTTCTTATTGAATTCGATAATTATTTTTCTGATATTATATGTACTTGATGTGTGCTATACGTTGATACTAGTTTTGTACCTTTTGTTAACATTTTAATACATTTTTTTCGTAATTAATTAGTATGATACCATAGTATACACCATAGGCGTAGTCAAAACATTTATCAAAAGTATAAATATCTGAAATATCTCTTCAAGCTGCTATGTTAAGAAAAATATGTGCCACGGCACTGTTTGGAAGTATGGTAACAATTTGGTCTCGGTTGTTATTAGTCCTTGTATTCTTTAGTCAGTGTTGAATACAATATTTTATACACAATACACAATTTATCAGTGGCGGTTCGTTTAATACACCTAATGATTAAAAACGCACACAGAAAAAGTAAAATTGTTTTATTCATAAACGTTTTTGTCTCGATAGAAGATAAAATCAGAATAAATATATCAGATCGCTCAAATATGACAACATTGTCAAAACACGAAATACTTTTTTTCCTACTAATTTATCTATATAGGGAAATTAAAACAACTTTGGGTGCACGTCATCAATGACACCATGCGTCGTCTTATGGAGTTTGCTGGTGGTCGTATTATGATGTGCAACCAAATTTATTTTAATTTCCCTTTACTTGTTATCACGAGTCGCCACTGCACTTTATATGACACTATATAACGCAATGACTAAAGAAGACAAGGACATGTAACGCCCATATACAGGCTGCAGCAGAATTTCTGACGTTAGACGCCATTTTATTGGTGTCAACGAATGAGTCATCAGCTGGTTATCAACGACCATTTTAGCTATGATATGATATGACCGATACTTTAGACACCAAGTAAAGATTAAAATTAGTTGAATTTTTAAATAATAAATATTATACAAGCAACGAAGTATATTAAATAATATTAATAAAGTACAGAGTAGAGTACCTACTTATCTTACTGCTTTAGCAAAAGTTTTACGGGCCTGAACACTTTCTAATCACAATAAGTAGGTAAAATACGTCTACTGGATTTGTGTCTATGAAAGGAATGCGGACAAAAAACATTTAAATAAACAGCAATATATCTTATACGTCGACTTGACGAGTATGTCACCGCAAATCGCTCCGCCCACTTATTTTATTGGCTACTTGCAAATTTGTCGAATTGTTATTGATGGGACGCGTCGTCTAATTTTTTACGAAAAACATCGAGAGGATATCGTTTCCCCTCTCACGGATACCCCGTAGCTACAGAACGGACAGACGTACTGTATACATGCGAACGGGGACGCCGCGTCGTGAAAAACTTTTGTATAATGACATGTGATTTCTAGGTTAGGACGAGGTGATTCCCAACGATTACCACATCATTCCCAGCGATTGCCAGTTGATTCCTAGGTGATTCCCAGGGATTCCCATGTGATTCCCAGGTATTCCCAGGTGATTCTCAGGGATTTCCATGTATTCCCAGTTGATTGCCATGTTATTCCCAGGAAAATGTACAATGATTTCCACTAGTGGTTTACCCCTCGAAATTTTCAATGAGTACAGATACTAATATTGTCGATATAGTTTGCTTATTTCATTAAAAAATAAAAAAACTGTTTAAATATTTTTGTTAAAGAGGACCAATTAATATGATCCCAGTATTCAAACTACACTGATTGACTGTTTACTTTGATTAATAATAATTGCTCCAAATACTCAAAACTGAATTTTGTGTGTGTATTAAACAGTGTGGTAATAAGTAACACCTTATAAATTTTATTACATTTTTTGACGAATGCTTATTTATATACAGAGACGTTCATTTTTATAACTTATTAATATATTGATTTTTCTGAGCCAAAACCACATTTATTTAGAATACTTTATTAATTAAAACAATTTAAAAGTATGTAATTAACTAATTTTTGGTCGGAAATAATGGTATATTTAATTGGTATACTCTTTTACAAATATTTAAATAGTTCTTTTTTGTATACCAATGGGCTTGCAATATTTACCACCTGTACATTTT